CGAAGATAGCTTTGTTCCTAGCTAGCCAAATTTCAAATATAGTGCAATTAAATATTATCATACGGGAGAAGCATTTTTGGGAGAGGAAGTTACCTTTGGAAAGCCACACAAACATGAGCTGAAGCATTGAGGAGGGACAGGGAGGGACATCTAGTGCATCACCAAAGAAGTGCCAAAGATTGTTTGTAATATCATTCTGTAAAAACAGATCCATCTTTGATTCTTCTTGAGCTAAAGAGTAGCACTGACATTTGGAAGCAATAGATATACCACATGTTTTGATATTACACTCCACAGCAACTGAATTATGCACAACCTTCCATACCAATACTCCAATCTTCCTTGGAAGTCATTTATTCCAAAGGGATCTCTACCATTCAAATTTCAGAACATGTAGCCTGATAGAGTCATGGTAGTCTTTCGTGTCCTGACTTAGAGTCCAAATAACAGAATCTGTCTTCTACAGAGTCATCCAATATCAGTAGTTCCAATTCATTTTGGACAGGCAAAGGAAGGGAATTATATATTAATAGGTCATGTTTGGCTTGAGCTAGAGAGATATTCAGAGAAGTTATAGGCTGAGGGAGAATAGATAATGTCCATTTATCACTCCATAGTTTGATACTTCCTGCGCTAGCCACCTACAGTGACCTATCCAGGAGACTAGCTATATATCGCAAGATTGATCTTCATACCAAAGATCCCTTTGTTGAAAACGAAGGAGGCCAGGGAAGAGGGCTCTCCATATTTTGCTCTTACAAAAGAGCTCCAGAGCAAATCATTCTTCAAGTAGGCCCATGCTAATTTTCCCTTCATGGACTTCACCACCTCTCCCATGTTTCTGATACCCAAGCCACCCTCCTGCATAGGATAGGAGATTTTTTTCCAACTCACCTAATGATGATTATCTCCGCCACTATTCCAAAAAAATTAGAAATAAAACTCTGAATTCTTTTGATGGTGGTTTTGGGGATGGGCAACACGCCCATGGAATAGATGGGAATAGATGATAGCACACTCTGGTTCAATGTAACTTTCCCATCGGTAGACAATAATTTTCCCTTCCACCCAGCTAGCTTTTCCTTAACCCTGGATTCCAAATGTGTAAAGTAGGCTATTCATGGTCTGCCTTTGAAAAGAGGCATACCTAGGTAAGTAATGGGTTCTGTGGCCAAACGAAATCTTATCCATGAAGAAAGCAACCTTTTTTTGCTGACTGAAAGTTTACTACTACATAGAATGGAGCTTTTCCCATGATTTATCATCTGACCACTGGTAGAAGCGTATGAGTGTAGTAATATCTTCACCTTATCCAGGTTTCTTTTACTTCCATTGCAAAAGAGTAGCGGGTCATCAGCAAAGAAAAGGTGGGAAACAAGGATGCTGTTTCACCTAGTGTGGTAAGGAACAAGGGAATGATTTACCACTTGAGCATTAAGGTGTCTACTTAGGACATCACCAGCCAAGATAAAGAGTGCAGAAGATAAGGGGTCTCTTTGGCAAACTGCATGGAAAGATTTGAAGAAACCAAACTTATTTGAGTTCATGATCAGTGAGTACCAACAGTTGCCAAGATAAATAGAGAAAATAACAAAATAAAAAAGTATATAAAATGAATATAACCCAAATTTCAGCTATGAGATAAGTTATAGTCAAATTGAATTAACCTTGTTTTGTACAAACTATAAACCAATCCTAGTTGAAAAAGTAGAGTCACACAAATGGAAAATATACATAAAACTTTTTTACTAAAGGACGTGAGTGAGTAAAAAATAGTGGTCTTACATAAGTGATTTATTTAAGAAATCCATTAGAGGAATCTAGCAGTAAAAAATTTATGTTCGGAAAGTATAAAAAAATGCAAGTAAAGTGATATATCCGGATTACATGTCTCGTTACACAAGACCCATAAACTCCCACTGTCAACAAAACACACAATCCTCTTCGTAGTCTAGCAACACATCGATATAAAAGTTTGAGGGACAGAATCACGTCTCGAACATGGACGGCCCTCCACTAAACAACACCAATAAGAGGAATTTAGACGGCCATAGATCGGTCGGTCAAACCAATCTCTACCAATCGGAAAGGGATAAAAAAAATACATACATTAAATGAAGACCTACTCTTAAAACCACCTTTATCTAATTCAAACCAAAAACCACGCCATCATGCTCTACAAACCGTTATTTGCCGACATCAAAAATATTTTTATCTTCCAACTAATATAAGAAACTATTAACAGCAAAAGAAGGACCATTCTACAAATTTGATGAGTCCTTCCGTTGTCCCAAAATGCTTATTTGAAAACTGTCGCTAAAAACCTCAAATAAATTATGATTTGTGACGATCTGTTTAGATTATCGTTAAATTTTAGCTTTTTAGCAAAAGTCTACTCTAGATTATCGTTAAATTGAATATTTTTGCTAGAATTTTGCAAAATTGTTGTGAATTTGTTTGTTTTTAGAGATAGTTTTCAAAAACATCGTTAAAAACATAAAATGTAACGAAATTAGCAACAATCTGCTCAATCTATGGCAAATTCTTTGTCTTTAGAGTCGGTTTTTTAAACTGTTTAAATAATGATTGTTAATTCTATGTTCTGTTATAATGCGTGCGTAATAGTCTTCTTTGATTATTCTCTCCCTCCATACATTAACTTTATCACCGGAGGATTCTATACCCAATGAGGAGGACTTGTTTTGCCGTTATTCCTTCTAGCATAACCACAATCTCTCGGCAAACACCACCACCCTAACAACAGACATTAAATCTGCCCTCGCAAGTTTCTATGCATTTTGGGAGCAGAGCATGCAAAATCCAGCAATGGATCTTAGAAGAATTCAACTTTGAACGGCACGACTCCTATTTTTTCACTGGCATTTGAGTTGTCTTCCCTCCTCTTTCGATCGACACACTCGACTAGATAGCTCCGGTGGCCCGGCTTCTGCCTCTATCAGGCTTCGCACCTCCCCCACCAAGAACCCATTTTTCAGGATTCGGTAGGCCCGTCAAAAAATGGGGATACTTCCCCCAAGGGATTTTTTTCCACCTCCAGAGCCACAGCATGGAGGAACTGCTCTTTAATCCACACTACAACCAATCAAAATTTTCTCCAGATCGATATATGATGATGCTAAACCGAGACCAAGATAGAGAGAGGGCTGCCCCTTTGTTGGCTCTTCGAGACAAAAAGCACTTATAGGAATGGTGCTAGTTCCTATGTTCCTTCTAGTCTCGTTTCGTTTCGAGAGCCTCCCCGTCCTTACCCGTCTTTTGAGATCTTACGACTTCATCATAAAGTACTTCAAAACTATGCAGCATTGATATAATAATGATATTTTACAAGAAAGGAGACTCAATCAGCAGGCAGCAACACCATGATATGGATGTTCTGGAGCAAAATCAATCTGATGGTAGTTAATTACTTGACTGGAACATGATAATCAGGACAACAGCCTCTTTATTTCTTCGTCTGGAATGCCAAGACCACTTTCTTCTGTAAGCAATCAGGGCTGAGATATGGAAATGCATTAAGAATTAGAGAATGGATACATAATAATCAGCCTTCTTTAACATTTTTCAATATATTCTTCATTATAGATCAAATCAAAATCTACAATACTCTCCATCCACAATACAGGGGGGTGCTTGTTGCTGCTGAACCTCCGCCAGACATGGAGTTAAAGCCTATTTACATGGCCTGTTTTTCTATTCAGCAAATGTTGTTTTGTACTTGCAGATTACAAGAAGGAAAAACAGTTACTTATCTCTCAAGGGCTAAAATAGGTTCTGTTATAACTGATAGGACACGTTTCCTTGTTAGCTCATCTGGGGAGGTATGCGCATCTCCGTTGTGATACGTGCAATGAGATTGTCGAGCAAGGTTAATAGCTGTTTCGACAAAAGCTTTAGCAAACACAGAGTCACCAAGTTTTTCTTTGTTCATCTTTTTCCAGGTTTCGTCGACCAAATTCAGTACAGATTCCGTAGCAAGTTCCTCAGAAATCCCATATGTACGCATGTAGCACGATACAGAATTTGCAGTTTCTCCTCTCGCTATTTCAGCCTGTGCAGAAAAGAAGAACGTTAATATGCGAAAACGGATTGCTATTGGCCTATATATTTAGGCATAAGATGAAAACTTACCGATGCTGAAGCCAAATCGTTGCAAAGACGAAAGATGTAGGAAGGCCAACTGATGATATCATGATACTTCTGTAAGTTTTCAACCTCCTCTTTCTTGATGTTCTTACTTACTGCAAAGTAGGCAAACACTAGTTGAAGAGGCCCTGAGGATGATTTCCAAGCATTTCCAAAGTAATCGTCAAATGTTGGAGTGGACTTATTGTACAGCCATTTTGCTTCTTGAAGGAATGCATTGCATAAGTCAGCCCACTACAAGAAAGAAGAGATTACAGCAGAAATCTGTTAGCAAAGGAAAATTGCAAGTATGCCATGTTTTGTGCGAATTACAATCAATAACCAGGAGGCTGTAATTTACACTGTACCGCTTTTGTTAGGTATGGCAGAACGTTTTCATCCTTTTCCTTCAGATTTTCATAAGCTATCTCATTGATAGTGTTATATAGAGCTAGGAAGCACATCTTCATATAATCTGGAAGATCATTGATTGCATTAACATCCCATCTGAAACAGCCAGAAATAAAAAGATTAGCATCATAACAACATAATAAACGAAAATGGTGAAGGGATATTTCTTTCTTAGCACAAACCTCTCAACAGCATCTGTAAAAAGCTCTAACTCATCCAGAGTACCGTAAACATCATAGATATCATCAATGATGGTTACAAATGAAAACATTTTTGCTACTGATTTACGGCAATCACTGTATTGAGGTTCGAACGCAACTCCAACTGCCCAGTAAAAGCTTTCGATTAACCTGTCTCTAGCAAAATGCAACTTCGTTGCAAGACCAACACGCCTCCACCACCTGAGCGACACGGCAGAAGCAAAATTATTTTCCATGAATGGCAATCTAATTGATCTGAGTGCTGTTTATTTGTTTATTTTGTCCTTGTACTGACCTTGATGTCTCGCGAAGATCTCTTTGGTATATCGCTTGAACCATGTTGTAGTCCAGTATAGCAAGTTGTAGCAGTAACTGATTTGCGTCTTCCTTGTTACGGTATGCTTCAATACTCCATACAGCTTCTAGTCTCTGCGTCCTGCGATGCAACGGAAGCTCCAATGCATGATTCACCTGTTCAGCGAGGTCTTTTCCGATTTTTTCTTCATTAAGGTCTTTTAGATGTGCTATTGTAAACAGCTTGGCCTCATCCAAGATAGTTTCTCCTTCCAAGGCAAGAAATGAAGCTTCATATAGGCTTAGCATTGCCTTAATGTCCTCCTTAAGGTTTTCCATGAAATTCCCATTTTGATCCTTGAAGCTGTTGAACACATCTTTGGATACAAGGACATACCACATAAATACACTTCATTTTTAAGGATAGATTAAATGATTGAGGCTTATAACTAAGTACCTTGAGAGACCTCGAAGCCATGTTGTCTGAGTAGCCTGAAGCTAAGACCAGTAGCATAAAGGCTAGTTGTCGTTACAGCATCAAATCCTTCTGAAGAAACAAATCTATCAAGGGCTTTCCTTATGTCAATCTCGAACCGGTACCCCAATCCTAACCTTTGGACGGTATCTATCAGTTCCAGTAAAGTCAGAAACTCTGCCTTCTCATTGCTAATCATACTTCTCACCTCAGCCTCCAGCTTTTGGCCTTTGTCTTTGTATATTTCAATCTACATGATGACAGTATGCAAAGTTAGAAATTGGATATTGATTGATGACTGTAGTGCTTCTTCCTTTTCTTCTTCTTCACAGTCCTCTTCTTTTTAATTTTGACTTATTACAGGTTAATCTGATACGCTTTAATCACCTAGCATGTTTTTTAGCAGGGAAGGGCAAATCTAAAATGTTTAGCGTGCCAATTATCCTAAGGATATGTGTTGATGCCAAGCATACAGCATACCATCAGGGCTTAATGAAGAGTGAAACCCACTTTGAAGATCTGGAGACATGTTTAAGTAATCCAGGAGTCTTGGATCAGCAAACTGAAATTTAGATTGCTGAGTTAAGAACAGCCAAACTACTAAACCAAAATAAAATAACACTAGTCCTGATTCCAGAGTTCAAATCCTATTATTCTCTATGATGAGAAGAACGATGGAAGATCAGGTTGATCCAACGAACTTATAATTGAAAAAAAGAAAAAAAGGGTCTGCAGATTTTACGTACCGCTTCTTCATTTTCGGAAGACAGCAAATAATCATGATCCCAGCTGCTTGGTTCATAATTGGCAGACCGTCTGGTTTCTGTTTCTGCTAAGCTGACATTTTCTGTGCTTACTGAGCATCTGACTTTCAAAGTTAAGGGGTTGGCCTGGATGACTCTAGGCAAGGGATTGGCCTGGATGACTCTAGGCAAGGGATTTCTGTACAATGAGAATGGACTGTGCAAGCACAATAATTCAGTTGCCATGTCCTAGAAATGGAAAGTGGAAAATACAACAGAATTTTCTTCTTTTATTGTTTTCTAAAAGTTTGTTCCTCAAATTGCCAATACAAGAAATGTACACACATTTATAGAACTTACAATTCCAGGACTTGCTAATCAGACACAAAGATTGGTTAGATTTTTTTCTGTTTATTACATGGCACTATGCTCTCCATAGACTGTTGTAAATGGTGAAGTTTTATTCTGTTGTCAAAATCGTTGGAAATCAACGTTAGGTCTGGAATCTTCCATCTGTTGAAGCTTCATCAGAGGCATGCAAGGTGCCAAATCCCAGGGGTCTTTTCTTCAGATTTTGCCTTACTTGCGACGCTTATGGAATCTGATTTTTTTTTTTTTTTTTTTTTTTTGATACATTCGACACCATAAATTTTTTTAAAAAAAGAAGAAATTATTGGTCAGGAAGTTTCTAAAAGGAAAAATTAGCGTTGCTTTTGGTTTGGAGATTTTGAAAGGCTACGAATATTATCATCAGTATGTGGGCTTGAAGCTTCATCCAGAATAAGTGGATTTGCTCACCCAGCTACAACAATTCGCGGTTCAAATATATGAGGTTCTAAAACAAAATTGTCTATAAATACACTTGATTGATTGATAGAGATGAGCATTATTTAAAAAAAGTAAAAAACTCAAATTATCCGAACAAATTTTAGAACTTTTTAAAAAGTAGTAATTCGGATAATAATATTTTTTTTTTGGTGATTTCTAAAACTAATGGGTTTATCGTTTACTTGGACCTAATTTTGACTCGTAAATAACTTACCATGGACCTAATTTTAGCTAGTTTATTGTAATTTCTTTAGTATTTAAATACAATAAAATAATAGATAAAAAAAATTGGGTTATCCTAATTACCGGATCAGACTAAGTAATTTAGATAAAGGCCATAAAAAAAATTTAATGGTATATATATAATTCGAAGTAATTTCCACAATTCTTCCCTGACTTATTTAAAACGGACTAGAAAAAGGTGATTTATTTGACAGCGATGTTTAGGGTGGCTGAGTTTCTATAAATTTGGAATCAAGAAAAAAAAAAGAAGAAGAAGCAAATGATGACAATTCATGCATCCATGCTTTCTTACTTACAAATCTCAAATGTGACATTTCGTGATACCCAGTCCCCACTTGCTCGATTTTTTTTTTTTTTTTTTGTGTAAAAAAAAATGAAAGAAAGGAAAATCTCCAAGTTGCATCTTTTGAAATTACATGCATATTCTACTAATTTGCTGAGATTAAGCACCCAAGCATTGTTAATCAATATATATATTTTTGTAGTCTTGTTGAATGAATAGGTAGGTTGAGGTGAGGATTTGATTTTTTAATTTTTTTTTTAACATTTTGGTTTAGTTTTTTATTAACTGAACTCACCAAAAGTATAACTGAATTTGAGTTTGATTTTTCGATTTATGAAATTAAAATTTCAGTTTTTTCCAAAAAAAACAACCTGATTTTTTTTTCTTTTGCTGTTTTTTTTTTATTATTACTTAAAATAAGATAAATAGCCCAGAAAAATATATTGTGGACTATAGAGTTCTTCTTCTAGTTAAAACAATTTAAATTGATCTATATGAAAGATAATAAATATTTATTTACATAAAGATAAAGCACAAAATCATACCACCTAACAAGACATTAAAATTTAAATACAAGTTCACTGATCCATATTTAAAATGTGTAATGATAAAAAACTATTAATTGTTTAAATATGTTGTAAACCAAACTATCAGGATTTAAATAACAATAAAAAATTCAAATATGTCTTAAATATATATATAATTCCAAAAAAAGAAGCATACACTTTAGTTCTTGATGGAAATCGGATTAAAGATTTTAAAAATCAAATCAAAACTGAAAAATCGAAATTAATTAAAAGCCAACACTTTAGAGATACTCTTCTCCTTGGGGTTATCTTCAAGATACATGCAAAACTCGAAGTTTTATTTTTCTTTTGCCATAATTAATAAGCCTCACAATTTGACATAAACCTTGCAACGTAATTGGTGAACATTATTCATTTAAATAGAAGAAAACGAATTGACTTTTAGCTTTTAGTTCTACCGGTGTTTAGAATTTTAGATTCATTAGAAACAAAAGATTATCGTTTCAATTTTTTTTTTTTTTTGGGTTATTTGTTTTTAGATTTTAAGATCACATGCAAAATTTCACACATAGGCGTCTATTTTTATAATTATATTAGGCTAATCACATGTTTTAATTTTTATTTTAATTTGGTTTTTTGTGATAAGATTATAAGAAATTGGTTTGGGTTTTTCCAAAAAAAAAAAAAAAACCAAATCTAATCCAAAATTTTAAAAACCAAAAATAGAAAACTGAACCGTGATTCCATTTCAGTTAAAACAAAAGCCTGAACCCAAAAAACCGAAAACCCGCCTTTCGTCCAATAGGATAGCTACCCAGAATGTCCAGTACAAGCCATGAAGCGCCAGCGTTTTGACTTTTCACATAACTTAATGGGCCTCCTTCTAGCGTCATAGACACCAATCTAAAGCTGTGTTTAGAATTCTTGTCCCCACAAATCCTCTTTGTCTGACAACAATTCAAATTTAACCTTGAAAGTTATGCTCGTGGCAGCCCAGTTGCTCCGTCAATCTTAGAATTCTGATTTGATTTTACTACTGTAGCTAGACATGATAACGGATCGGTTCGAATCATAAATTAAACCGAAATCGAATCGTTATCGTTAAAACCTTAACCTTGATCAAATCGGATCGTAATCGGCTATCTACAGATTGGTTATGGTTTAAGGTATTATAGAATTGAAATCGATGGTTCTAAATTAACGATTAATCGTAGAACTAGTGGTTCCACATCTTTTCTAATAAATTTGGGTTTGGTCAAAAAAATGAAAAAATTTAAATTAAAAAAAAAACCAATTTTATATGGGTTGGACGAGTAGCTATTGGACTAAAAAATGAAAAAAAAAATTAAGCCTAATAATTTTTAATTTTTGAGCTTAATATATATATGTGTGTGTGTGTGTGTGTATGTGACAAACGGTCACAAATGTGACCCTTTTTTTTCTTACTATAAATACACTTTCAATTTTTTCATTTTCCTCACAACTCAATCTCTCATTCTCTCTCAATCTCTTAAACTCTTAAGCCTAGAATTCTCAATACCGTCCTACAATATTTTTTATACTTCAAATACTTCTTAAATTTTTTACATTTCTATTGTTTTATACTACAAAAAATGACAAGTTCAAGTTCACATATGTCATTACAACAAAGTAATACTCGTCAATCAAAATCGAGCAGGGGAGCAACAATAACAATCAAATTTTACACCTAGATCATCTTACATCTTCAAAATTCATTTCTCAAAAGTTCCTTTAGAAAAAGATGTTTTTACTCGTGATTTGCAACTACCGCAACAAGCAATACAAATTCAAATAAGGAGGTACTTATGGAATATTCAAAACCCACTTAGAGATAAAGCATCCATCTATACTTGGTAATGATAAACATCGGACACAAATATTTGGGTTTGCTTCTCCATCTTCCTCTTTATTTCAGTATACCGATAAAAAAATAAAAAGAAATGGCTAAAATGATATGTATTGATCATTTATCTTTTAGTTTTGGTCAAAAAATGGGTTTTAGTGATTATTGTTTTAACGCTTTGAATCCTACTTTCAAACAAGTTGAAAGACATTCTTTAAAAAAAACAGTTATAAAATTATATAAAGATAAAAAAAAAAAGAGAATTAATTGTATTATTTACAAATTTAAATGGTCGTATTTCTATATGTTCCGATATATGGTCCGATCAATGGCAAACTCACTCCTTTATGGGTGTAACTTGTCATTGGATTGATAATGAATGGCACATGCAAAAACGTCTTATTGCATATAGAGTTTTTGATGATAAACATACCGCTCAAAATATATATGAGATACTAAAAATGATTTTAGATAAATATGTTTTACCTTTAAAAATATTTTCAATTTCTTTTGATAATGCTAGTTTTAATTATGCTTCAATAAACTCTTTAAAAGAACTTTGTCAACCCCATCTTGGATGTAAGTTTTTTTTATATTAGATGCGTATGTCATGTTTTAAATTTATGTGTGCAATCTGGTTTAGAATATTTTAAAGATATTGTTAAGCCAATTAAAGCTCTTGCTAAATATTTATGGGCACATCCCCAAAAGATGAAATCATGGGGAAAGTTTTGCAAAGAAAGAAACAAAAAACCAAGACGATTTTCAAAAGATGTTTCAACTCGTTGGAATTCAACTTATGACTTACTTAGGCAATAATTTGAATATCAAGATTTATTATGCTCATTTTTTTCGGAAAATATTGATTCTGTTTTTATTTGTCAAAATGATTTTGATATTTGCGAACCACTTTTGGAAACTTTTAAGTGTTTTTAACAATGCAACATACACTTTTAGTGCCGTTTATCAACCAAGTTCATATTTATTTATGATTGAAGCAATTAATATTGTTAAAGCTTTTAATCATGTAGAACAAGGTATGCCAACTTTACATGATGCTCGTTAAAATAATGAAACAAAAATGGTTAAGTTATTATGAAACAATTTCACTTATTTATCTTGTTGCTTTAGTCTTTGATCCTAGATTTAGAATGGAAGGTCTTTCTGCTTGTTTTGAATACTTACTATAAGTATTTGCAATTATTTGATAGAAATATAGAATTAGAAACTGCTTCTATTATAAATCGAGTTAGAAATTTATATATTAAAATGTCTTTAATCGTGGGTGATCAACATGTTAGTTTCTCTTTACCACTTATGCCACAAACATCATCAAGTAGCCAACGTGTTAGAGTCGGTTATCTTATGGCCATGGAAAGGATAAAAAGGCCAAGAGGATCATCGGGCTCCACTTCCGAGCTTGATATTTATCTAACAACTGTGTTTGAGTTTGGTGATAGCAATGCAAGCGTAGATTTTGAAATAATTGATTGGTGGAAAA